TTTAGTCAATAAAGATAAATTGAGTGCACATTAATTCACAAAGGCATTTGCAATATATTTGACTCCTTTTCATGTTTCGTCTTTTTCTCAACAGGAGCTACATACACCCCAAAGGCTCTTTTCAGAGCCCAGGCCCATTTTGCACAGCGTCTTTGCCTTTGTACAGTAAGTATGTGTTTTAATTGACCTCAAAGACAACTGAAACACTATCTTTAACTAATCTAGTTAAAAGTTATTTTGCACATGATTTCCATTACACGAGAGTAGATGTTAAAACTTCATGCAGATTTGTACTCGGCTTTCGCCAAGATTAGCACAAACTAAGACGTAGCTTTATAGTAAACTATGCTTCTCCATCCATTTACACTTCTTTCCATATGTTGGTGTGACTCCCCTTCTGTCCGGCATTACGGCTGCAGTGTACTTGCCGCGTCAGCACACACGACGGCTGGAACTACAGTATGGTCTCCCCAGTGGACCAGCACCACATCCATCTGGATTGAGACGAGTAGGGGACATCTCTAGGGTCTTCACATATTGATACACACGTATGTAATAACTTTCCCCTGTTTGCTTGTCTTGATTATTGGCATCCTAAGATCCTAAAAAATGTGACCTTTACCTGTCTCTGCCTTTACTGTCTGTACTATTAATTTTGCATCAGGAAAGCCTATACCTTATAGTGGAGCGAGTGGACTAGTATCAAAGGAATGGTTTACAGGTAGGCCAGGGCAGTAATGTAGTGGAAATATTTATCTTTGACCTAAATAAGGCTACAGGAGAACTCCATTGTTAACATCAGGTTAATGCTGAGTGCTGTAACGTTGCAAATTTTATGTTTATGTTGGTATAGATATTTGTCAACTGTCTATCACTGTCAATAAAAGGTATTTTTTGTCACTCAGCAACTATGATAGAGGCATGGCAAACTCAAATTTTTCTGGACACGATAATTTACATTTGCATGCTTGTTTATTTTCCTCGTCGTCTCTCTCTGTCTCTCTATACCAAAGAGACTGGATGACAAACTCCCGGTTCCTTAGCGTGAACTAGAGCTTAGATTCTCTGCCCGAGCAAGGACTTGACCCGACCTGGGCTGACACTATCCTCGGGTCGGGCCTTAGATCTAGAGACGTGCACTCCCAACGCAATAGAGTGCGGCGCTGCACTAGATTCGATGGCCGAGTGCAAGCGGTAATGCACTCACTCTGTGTGTGCGGGTTGCGGGAGAATAAACCGATTTGCGGTACTCCCGCAAACTAGAAATATTTATTTATAAAACATATAAAAACTAATAGATTTTTAGTCATCTGCAAGAACAACTAAAACAAAGTAGTAAGGATTTACAGGCTAGAGTTTCTATTTATAACATGTTTGCATTATTGAGCGATGTAGTCAATCACATGTTGATTTCTTGAACGCCAATCAGAAGCATTTAAGATATACTTCCCTCACTGCTCAAAACAGACTTTTTTTATTCAGTGATGAATTCTGTATGCTGGCAAATCCTCTAATTATAACAAACAAAGTGTAGCCTAGATATTATATGAGATTCATTGTGCAGTCAGCTTCATTGGTAATAACAGAGATGTGTGAGATCATGATGAACTGTCAGCTTTTTTGGAATTATTAAGGGAGCCCATTCAGTCATGCCAGACAATGCACGCAGTAGCTGCTTGCTTTATGTTAAATTAACAGTGGTTTGTGTGTTAATGTTTTAATAACAAATAATTTAGGGTATGGTCGGGTTTTGTTTACAACCATTTTATTTGTATTTTGGCTATTTATTCAAGTGCATTTTCTGTTAACCGGGACATTGCTTTTATTGTTTTTTGGTTGTTTTGTTCATTTATTTTGTATATTTAAAATGTTTTCCAATTTCAGTGAGCTTCATATGTTTTTTGACTTTTTGATCATCCTCTTTGTATCACACAGAGTATGTCACCCATGTCATATTTCTCTCTGTTCGATGTGATCAATATGATAACTAATCTTTGTAAAAACGTTTCATTTACAGACCATTGCAACTTGGATCACCATCACCACCACCATCCCCTGCATCAGACACCCTAAATCGTGCCCTTCATCAGACACCCTACAGTAAATGCACCACAAACAACACAGGCAAAGAAGAAGAAAACGCACGACAAATCTCCTCCAGCCCATCCCACATCATCGTATAGTAAAGGTAAGTGTCCCCTCTGTAGTAAACTGCATCAGGTCCCTAAACTCAAGTAGACACAGTGTACTGCACAGGTCCACAGCGCATACCATAGTTTGGTGTTCCAGATATGATTTTGGAGTTTATATTGGTAGTGTGATAAGTTAGCCAAGGTTTTCTGTCTTTCCAAGAGGCCGCAGTTAATATTCAAGAAGGAGGACTGGAGGACTGATATGGAAGCACATGGGTAGCAATATTCAATTTGAAATGTAATATGCAAAATGACAATGCAATATGTAAAATGGCATTGCATTGTGTATTTAAATTTATATTTTACATTCTAGCAACGTTTGTTGCAAAATGAAAATGAAATTACATTTGCCATTTCATACACTAGTTTTAATATGCATATTGAAATGCTTTATAAGTGTCAAAATGAAAATGAATTACAGAAATGATTAGATATGTGTAACATGTTCAAGCAAAAACTGTGGCAAATTTAATGATCATTCAAATGTTACTTTTCTTAATTGCGTTTACACTCACAGTCAAGACACTTGAATGAAATTAATCAAATTAAATCATGAAATTAATTTTCATTCAAATTGAATATTGCTACCCATGTGCTTCCATAGACTGAAGGCTTTCCTGACTGTAAGCTATTTAAGACGCAGACAAAGAACACACTGACACACACTCGCAAACACACACACAAACACTTATAGAGCACAGCACAGTTCTATGCAAAGTGGGGAATGACAGAAAAAGTTTGAGAACCACTGATGTGGAGTGACACTGGGTTAGCTCTGTTATTTTGACATGGGTTAAGATGAGTTGCTGCTGATAGAAATGTGTGGCAATTATTACTCAGCTCACTGACATTAGTTTATATAATTGTGATAAACTTGACTTACTGTTCACTCCAATAATTTGTTTTTTCTCTATTTTCTAGTGACGCCGCCGGATAATAATGACGGCCTGTGTGCTTTGCAGCCTTTTCCAGGGATCCTTCAGAGGACTAACAATGGTACGATATTTTATATGTAATGTATGCTACTGCACTTCTTACTCAGAACATCAGACTAAATTAGTAAAAGTATAAATTTGCTTTATTTATTTTTTATTTTGTTTCGTTTAGGTGCTGTGTTAAGAAATCCTACCCAACAAAATTCCACTGAGGCAGATGTAGAGATGACTGCGAGAAACTGGCTGCGGCTGAGGAGGGACAGGAAGCAAGAGGGCGAGCATCTTAAAGTGAAATAATTGATTGGACTGATTTTTCCTGTTTACCTATTTTGGAGGGAATTTCTTTTTGTTGTTGTTGTACTTTTCTATGTGTGATTTGAGTGTTAAAATAAATGATACTGCTTTTGCAAAAACAAAAGTAAAAAATAAATGTTCAAGGTCATCTTCCGGTGCTCTCATTTTTATTATTTATCCTGGAAAACTCCTAGCTTAATTTGCATGACCATCAAACTTAATTTTAATATCACTGATCCATTCATTTTTTATGTTAGACTGACATTTCCCAGGTAGTCAGACTGTGTTTGAAATAGGCTACACCCTACACAAACAATCACTAACTTTCAATTTAACTTTCACTTCAATTTCATTTCAATTTAATTGCAATTGTCAAAATTGTTAGGGAAGAAATGTTACGATTAACAAATCATATTGTTATTGATTGTTGATACTGATAGACAATAGGCAACCTGTGTCCTTGGAACAATCTGACAGCAGTTAGCCTAAACAAATCAATAATTAGACATAACGGTGGGATCCTACTAGAGCGGCGAAAAACATTCAGAAGCCTCGTTACCTTTGACTTAACACCGGAACAGCTGATTTTCAAGCATGCTGTGCCCTTTCCAGCGATGCAGACGAAAATCAGCTGTTCCAGTATTAAGTCAAAGGGAGCGAGGCAGGCGTCTGAATGTTTTCCCTGCTCTAGTGGGATCGCGCTGAATAGGTCATAATAATTATATCGGGTATACGTTGGCTCACGGTCGGCGATCATGTCGGGTATACGTTGGCTCGCGGTCGGCGATCGTTCTAAAACCACCGTCTTCCCAATGTCTTGCCGATTAGCTACCGATCTCCATAAGACATCTTACCGAGGCACTTTATGTCGGGCAGCCACGCGCGCCCCAACGTCGGCACGATCTAATTTGTTGTCTGGGTGCAGACAGTGTGGATTTTAAGGATCAGGTCTGCGGATTGAATTTTGGATCTATACGGATTTATTATTGTGTTAATTTGGGAGCTTAATTTAAAAGTGGAGTTCATCGGATTATCAACATTGTTCAGCGTGTGGAAATATGTGGATTTATCATCATGTTTGTTCATTCTGAATCGCGAAAACAGTTCATTGGGTTTTGAGGATTATGCCGTTTCTTGTGGAATATCATGCATTCATCACAAGGAAATCCGAGACATGAAGTTTTATAATTTCAACAGTAAGGATTATGTGTTTTATCAACGCTGGGTACACCTGTGGAAATATGAGAATTTATCAATGATCTCCTCATCGCACTGCTCATTGGATTATGTGCTTTATCACCGATCTGTTCAATCATAGCGTCTGATCCACAAAACGTGTCATTGGGTGTTTTATCAGTGTCCTCTCCAGCGCGAGGAAATATGTGGATTTATCATCAGGTTTGTTCATTCTGAATCACGAAAACAGCTCATTGGATTTTGAGGATTATGTCGTTTCGGCATTTGTGGAATATCACGCATTCACCACAAGGAAATCCGAGACATGAAGTCTTATAATTTCAACAGGGTGCGCAACGTTAAGTGGATGTAAACAGAGAACTTGTAACGGTTTTTAAAGACGGGAGGATAATCGTGAAAAAGCGTTCTGGACAACATCTGATAAGGTAATATACAAATATTGATTTGACTTTATTCATCTGACTGTTTTTATTATTGGTACGGTCTGTAGATTACCTTTAAATTCAGTAATAGTGTATTCTAAGTCCAAACAACATATCATCTGAAATCTCACTATCTCTAGTTTTAATATTTGATAATTAGTTTTTATTTGTGTGATTGTTTTTTGCCTGTTATTTCTATTACAGCATAACCTGTTGTTATCCTTAACACCAGAGGGGAATCGTGAAATACATCATGAACAACAGCTGAGCTGATAAAGGTAACAAATATTTATACAAATATTGATTTGACTTTATTCACCTGACTGTTATTTTTATTATACGGACTGTAGATTACCTTTAAATTCAGTAATAGTGTATTCTAAATCCAAACTACATATCATCTGAAATCTCACTATCTCTAGTTTTAATATTTGATGATTACTTTTTATTTGTTTGATTGTTTTTTGACTGTTATTTCTATTACAGCGTGAACTGTTGTTATCCTTAACACCAGAGGGGAATCGTGAAATACATCATGAACAACAGCTGAGCTGATAAGGTAACAAATATTATACAAATATTGATTTGACTTTATTCACCTGACTGTTGTATTATTGGTACGGACTGTAGATTACCTTTATATTCAGTAATAATGTATTCTAAGTCCAAACTACATATCATCTGAAATCTCACTATCTCTAGTTTTAATATTTGATGATTACTTTTTATTAGTTTTTATTAATTTGAATGTTATTTCTATAACAGGTTGTTGTTAACCGCGCTGAAGGACAACCGTGAAACCCCTGACAGCAACTAATATTGGTAACAAAGCACCTTTTAAATGAATGTTATCCAGATTATCAATGGAAAAGACACAACGCAAGTTATGCAATATATCATAATTACTGATTTCTTTTTATTAATTTGATTGTTATTATTTTTATTCATTTGACTGTTATTTTACAGTTGTTATTTGTAATAATAGTATGGGTTGTTGTTATTAAAATCTCTTCAGCGTCACCAACCCCAGCGGTGGGATCCCCAAAAACCATTACCTAGACTAATCTTGACAAACTACATATCATTTGAAATCTTACATTCTCTAGTTTTCATATTTGATGATTACTTTTTATTTGTTTTTATTAATTTGACTGTTATTTGTAATACTGCTATGGTTTGTTGTTAAACATTACCCATCAGCTATTACTATTATCTATGAATGGTGATGGTGTTGGAGTATTCGTTTATAGTCTACTAGTAACACATTAAAACAAAATGGCTTCTAAAAGATCTTACACTGATATGCAGTCAGACTCAGACGAAGATGTAGAACACATAAGATCGAGGCATCTCAGTACTAATGAACTATTGCAACGTTTAATACGTGAACAGTTAAGAGCAATTGACACTACAGGACTTTCAGTAAGGGAGAGATTGCAAAATGTTATAGCCGAACAACGATCCTGGCTAGACATGGGTGATGATGAATCCATCCACTCCGATAATGGGTTTTCGAATCATCATCACCACATTCCTAATATCGACTCTGACGAACGTATCATGTCGAGACATGATGGAAATAATGAACAATTGCGTTGTTTAATAAGTGAACAATTAAACGCACTGGACACTACGGGACTTTCAGTTAGGGAAAGATTGCAAAATCTTATCGCCGAACAGCGATCCTGGCTAGACGGGGATGATGATGATCATGAAACCATCCAGTCCGGTAATGGGTTTTCGAATTATAATCATCAGCTCCCTAATATGGGCCTTAGTCAGGACGAAATTCATACGCTGACGACTGAGGGAGGACGTGTAGGCGACTTCGTAATAACCCCTCGACCACGTTTCAACGGACTTGAAATCCAAAGGACACTGAATCTCCGTGAAATAGATACAAACGATTTGGCTGATTTTAATCATCGTCTACACAATATTTTAAACGAGATTGTGCATTTTTCTCAACTGACGGCCGGCGATACGGGCTATGTGAATATAGCACTAACTGGTGACAGCTTACCTACGTCTATAAATGCTGTGTTAACACCAGAAAGCAATCATGATCCATCATTATTCATTGACCAAATTGAACGCGCTGCACAAAGCAACAGAGATGTGTCAACAGACAACTCTTTATCTCTAAGAGTTTCTGTAGCTATGGATCATCAGGGGGGTGGCGGCGCACGTAGGAAAATCACAGACATGGCCATCAGTGACACTATCAAACGAAATAAAATGCATTTATTTTGTCCGATGAATTTGAACGACAACATGTGTCTTAGTTATTGTCTGACATACTTTTTGAATCCAACATTCACAGATCAACAGTTGCAAAAATCAGCAATGGACATACACACATCGTGTGGATTTGCACCGCACGATAAAATAGGATTTCATGATCTGAACATTTTCGAGAGAAAATTAAATTTAAAAATTGTAGTTTTTCACAGAGACTGCACTGGAAAGGTACAGGTCTACAAAAACACAGATGAAATACATCCAAAGACCGCAAATTTATACATTCATGAATCGCATTACTATCTGATCAAAAATTTGAAAGGTTTCTTAGGCACTAGTTATGTCTGTCAATTTTGTTACCGCGGATTCAACGATAGGAGACTGCATAAATGCAAATATGTCTGTAATATTTGCTGTACAAGCGAATGTCGCACACATGTCACAAACTATAAACACTGCCCAGACTGCCTCAGATACTGCAGAAACACCTTTTGTTACGAAGCACATAAACAAGAGCGTACATCCGTTGAAAAATCGCAATGTGACACTATAAAATACTGCACTAAATGTCAAAAATTGTATAGGGTTGCAAGATCTGGTGATAAAACCAAACCACACAAGTGCTCTCCAGAGAGCTGTGTACATTGCAACGAGATTTTGACAAGCGAAGGTAGTCACGAATGTTACATTCAGCCTCTAAAGTCTGAAATGTGTGATGAAAAATACATTTATTACGACTTTGAGACTATGTACCAGGATGATAAACATGTGGCTAATTTTGTATGTGCAATGACTCAGACAGGCGAGACGTTTGAAGCTGGAGGCACAGATTGTGTGGCACGTCTGATTAAACATTTCAGACGTCCAAAATACAATGATTACACATTCATAGCTCACAATGCTTCGGGGTTTGATTCCTACATTCTGTTACAGTATTTTAGCAGCGAAGGCATAACTCCAAAGGTTATTATGCAGGGGTGTAGAATATTACATATGTACGATGCGGCGTTTAGACAAAGATACGTGGACAGTTTCCAGTTTCTCCCTTTTTCGCTTAAAAAGGTCCCGGCTGCATTAAACCTGACGGTGAATGATAAGGGTTTTTTTCCACATCATTTCAACAGATTAGAGAATGCAAATTATGTGGGTCCCTATCCTGCAAAAGAGCTTTACGGTTATGAAACGATGAGCGAAATCGAACGTGTCAGATTTGACTCGTGGTACACATGTGTATTGAACGACGTCTTTGACTTCGAAAAAGAGCTTGCTTTTTACTGTCGGAATGACGTTGTGATCCTTCGAGAGGCCTGTATAAAATATCGCAAAGAATTCATCGAATGTACAAACATTGATCCGTTTAAATCTGTGACATTGGCCGGAACATGCATGAAAGTATTCAAAACAAACTTTTTGAGTCGGGATACAGTTGCACTTACACATAGTCACGCATACATTAATCAATACAAAACGTACTCCAACGCGTCAATTCAGTGGTTAGAATTTATTAAAAGTAAGGACTGTGTACCCGTGCAGCATGCCTTAAACCACGGAGAGCAAGCCTTCGGACCTTATCATGTTGATGGTTATTATGAGTCTGTTGATGGGGTAAAAACAGCCTTGGAGTTCTTGGGTTGTTTTTACCATGGACACGATTGTCGATTTAAGCCGGAAGAAATTCAGCCTTTATCAAAAGTATCTTTTGGTACTCTCAGAAGGCAATCGGATGAAAAGATAGAAACACTTCGTAAAGTGTATTCCTTACGAGTGATTACTATCTGGGAATGCGAATGGGATCATGCTAAACAAACAAATCATGATGTCATTCAGTTTATGGAATCTTACGAAGCACCTGAGAGGCTCAGACCCCGGGATGCATTATTTGGTGGACGTACGAATGCGTATAAGTTGTACCACAAAACAGCTGATGATGAACGAGTGGATTATTATGATTTCACATCGCTCTACCCGTACGTACAGTCGAGTAAGACTTATCCTATCGGACACCCGAAGATTATTTTTGAGGATTTTGAAGAAATAGATAATTATTTTGGGTTAATTAAAGCGACAGTGCTACCGCCTCGTAAGCTATTTCATCCTGTTCTGCCTTATCGATGCGGTGGTAAACTAATGTTTCCTTTATGCAGGACTTGTGCAGAGAATCAGATTCAGGACCCCCAATGCAGTCATACTGATGTCGACAGAAGTATCACTGCTACATGGGTCAGCGTTGAATTACAACGAGCTATTCAACACGGGTATCATGTGATCAAAATACACGAGGTCTGGCATTTTTCGCAGTCGACTGATACATTGTTTACCGATTACGTCAAAACATTCCTAAAATCCAAACAGGTGGCGTCAGGCTTCCCCTCACATGTAGTGACAGATGCGGACAAACAGTCTTATGTCGATGATTATCTGGATAAACAGGGCGTTCAGCTAGACATCGCTAATATAGCCCATAACCCCGCAAAACGATCTATAAGCAAGCTTATTTTGAACACTTTGTGGGGCCGCTTCTCTCTCAGGACTCATCTGCCTACCACAGAGCTTTTGACAGAGCCTGAAGAATTCACACAGTGTCTTTTTGGAGGTGCCGGCCGAATTATAAAACACTTTTCATTTGTATCTGATTCAGTGGCATTGATTCAGTGGTCCTATGCAGAACGCGATCCGTGCCCGACACGAGACGTTAATGTCTTTATTGGCGCTTTCACCACAGCTTACGCGCGACTCGAGCTGTATAATCTTTTGGATAAATTAGGCGAACGTGTGTTGTACGCAGATACAGATTCTGTGATCTTTGTGTCAAAAAACGGCGACTGGATTCCCGAGACAGGATCTTATCTCGGTCAATTAACGAGCGAATTAGCGACAGGCGACACTGTGGTTGAGTTTGCATCATCAGGTCCCAAGTCATATGGGTTTAGAACGGCAAACGGACATACGTGTCTCAAAGCGAAGGGTATTACACTTAACGCAAATAATGCACAGATAGTCACACTACAGAGTCTGATAGGGTTAGTCTGTGCGTATGTAGAGACCGGTGACACTCAGGAGCTGTTCCCCCGCACAGAGACCATTACACGTAATAAGAGGACCTTCACATTGCACAACAGATCAATTGTGAAAAGTTTCAGACTTGTGTACAATAAGCGAGTACTCCAACCAGATTATACGACCTTGCCTTACGGGTTTTAACAATACTTTGAAAATGTGTGAAACAGATGTTTTTGACTGCAGACTGCAACACCCGTTTTCAGCTGTTATTAGCGGCCCAAGCAATAGTGGGAAGACTTTTTTTGTAAAGACTCTAATGTACAATTCGGACAAAATGTGTTCTGTGAAGTTTGATAATTATGTGTACATTTATACATGCTGGCAGCCTTTATATGATGAACTGTTACATGCTTTTGATATTAAATTCATTGAAAACATCCCAAAGAAATTGGATGATGATTCATTATTCCCACCTGGTAAAAGATCCCTATTAATTCTGGACGACGTTATGGGTCAAGCAGCGTCCAATTCTGAAGTCGAGAAGATATTTACGCAATACGTCCATCATAAAAATATGAGTTGTTTGCTACTGATACAGAATCTATTTTTCCAGGGAAAATCTACCAGAACAATAGGACTTAACGCAAATTATTTAATAATATTTAAAAACCCCCGAGATAAGCAACAGATAGGTGTTTTGGGTCGTCAGATGTTTCCCGGTAATACAAAGTTTTTTATTGAAGCTTACCAGGATGCAACTAGTCTTCCTTTCAGCTATCTGCTAATAGATTATAAAACACAGACTCCTGAAAGATTTCGGCTCAGAACAGATTTACTGTCTGACTATCCTGTGGTCTACGTCCAGAAGGGAGTTTAAAATGAGTTCGAGACTTTCCAGAAATCTTTACCTTTTAAAGTTATTATACAAGAGCTCGCCCAAACAACGGAAGGTTATTTTGCATTCAGCCCCTGACGAACTCATACTGGCTCTGTGTGAAGTGGCCCTCAATATTCTTCACGGCAAGATCCCTCTAACTGCAAAACAGCACGGATCTTTAAAAAGGAGAAAGACCGAAATAAAATACGTTGCTAATAAAAAGATCAATATTGCAAGAAAAAGACGTATGATTAACCAGAAAGGAGGCTTTTTACTACCTCTCCTAAGCATAGCCTTACCTTTCATAACTAGCCTGATAACTAGAAACTGAATCTGAAGAGAAAAAATGCAGCATACTGAAAAATTGTATCTTGTACCAAAGCATCAAATGGATAGACTAAGGAATGCGCCGCCACGTGAAAATATCAATACGTCCGTGGAGGAAAACCTGGATTCATCTATAAGGGAGATATTACAAAGACATGACCTGGGTCCACATGAAAAAGCAAAACTATACACACACATGTTACAGAGATTTCTGTCTGTGTCAAAGCATAACGATGTGGAGAGCAACACTTTAACGTTAACAGTGCCGAGTCAGGATGGCGAAAATGAAGAAGCACCCGTCACTGAAGACGTAATCGTATCAGAGGTGCTAAACAACGTCCCTCAGAGAAGCTTGAAAAATGTAAAATACATTTTGGATAAAATGTCTAAGGCCAAACAGTTGTCTTCATGGACAGACGCCGGAGAATTTGTTTATAAAGGGAAAATCATTGCAGGATCTCATATGCTTGATCTGTTGAAAAGCGTAACAATGCCTCAAACGATACATGACAAACGTAGGCCGACAGGATGGAATGAATTTCTCGAAGCGTTTTCCTCTTTAAACATACCTCACTCAACTATAAGTAACCATCATGTTAAACGCGTGATTGATTCACTTAAAAGAAAAACAACCGGTGCCACCCCTGCGTCAGCATCGATGAAATCATTGAAAAAGCGAGAACGTCACAGCTCGCCACCACGTCCCTCTTCAGACACATCTGATAAGTCACCTAAATTAGATGCAAAACAATGGCTAGATTTTTAAGAATTATTTGCATCGATATAATTGGAGATGTTTATCTGTTTTACAAATATTATTGAATGTAAATTTGTGTATATCATAATTATGTAAGTGTATTTTTAAGTTGTATACTAATGTCTGATACCAATAAAGAAAAAGAAAATGTTTAATCTGTTTTACAATTTTATTTATTCATCACACACATAAACAATACATCACATTAATACGTCTGAAATGTTTTACCGGACTGTACACACTGAATGCATTTAAATGTTTTACCATTACAGAGACTAGGTTTCAATTTTTTCACAAAGAGAGAGACCATGACATCATTTTTTAACAAATCATTATGGTAAATTTTTATAATATTCTCATATTCATAACCTCTTGATATATAATACAGAAAAAACACACAATGTTGTCCGCAGGTATCAGAAGTATAATCTTGAACTTGTTTGCCCGAGTACTGAACGACCGTAGAATTGTTTTTTAGAAAGTTATGAAAAGATGCAGGAAAGCAATCTGCATCCGGTGCGTTACCAAAGCTGTCAAAAAAACAGGCGACGCCATCTCGACGTATGTATATGGCAATCCAGTGTTCCCCCGGTTCGTCTGAAGATTGTGTATTCGAAATTAGCATGCAAGGGGTATCCTTTAAAGGGTCTTCGGGTAGGTAATCGCACGGTAGTACACCTAAAAAATTTGTGTTACAGGAAATTTTATCCATCAGTCCCGTCAGTTGCACAGTATTCATTACAGCTGTATTCAGTAGTGCTCTGCGAACACCTGTCTCCGATTTGATATCTCTATAATAGAGTCAAAGACTGAATATATTAAAATGTTAATTGGTTGTGCGAGGGGTACTCTGAAGCGTGCTTCTAATCTAATATTTCCTGATCTAATCAATGAAACGTGTTGACCACATTCCTCGTCGGGTGTCAGATTAAAGGCATAGAGAGTGTATCCGTGTAGGAAATCTTCACGATCTATGATCATAGACTGATTCTTTAGATGCCGACCCGTGGCTGTCACTAGTTGATAAAACTCTCTCACGGCAGACCCGTTATTATATTCTGGTTGAAAGGGACGCGAAGGGACCTGGGTCCCGTCACAGGTCAGACTCAAATATTCAAGGTCAAAATGTTTAAAGGCAAAAGGATTCCTGTCATAAGCACCAGAAAAGGCGGTGTTTTCCGTCATGGCCAAAATGATGGATTTCGGTAGCGGCCCGAGGAAGAGATTTTCATGGTTAGATACACGTGCTCCTGCCGGTACGGAGAAATTTTTCACACAGACTCTATCTATGGGATATTTAGCTGTGGTCGAGAGAAGAGCTTGCGCATGTCCCAAACGCACTGCAGGGGATACGGTGACCCTTTTCACAAAAAGTGAAGCCGACAGTATATTAAGCTTATAATTGATGGCGTCACTACGTATCAGACAGAACTCGTCTTTCGCACGAGTTAACCGAATCCGTATATCCACTCCGTTCAATAATAATTTAGACTGAAAGAAGATGTCGCTGTGAATTGGAGCTAGTAGTTCTACAACACTACTGGCATTTGTGAACGCTGCTCTCTTTGTTAATCCTGCGTTCGCCCCTCCAGGATCCGTAGCATCTATGTGAGCCGAAGAATCTTTGTAGAATAAACCCGCTGAAAAGTTACTCTCGAGAGTGTCTTTTCCATAATTAACAAGGGCCTCAAAGAGACACCTGTAGGGATGCGTATTACTACTGTTACTGACGAGCCGGTCAGCTAAAGAGACGTCAACCTGTGAGAAAATCGTCGATCCAGGGTAATTAATTAAAGCCACAGGCGCTCCGTCAGGAATGTCATTTCCGTTCGGTAGGGTTATTTTGACGCGCGTATATAGGAGCGTGTTATTCAGATCTGTGTAATCTTCACCGGCCCCCGCTATAAAGAATTCGATGGGTGATGCGTCTGTTAAAGCTGACACGGGGCATATCTCCACATACATATTTTTTTCAATAGCTGTTTGTGTCAAAGGGACCGTAAACAGATCCAGCTCTGATTTAATGCACTCATCAGACATACAGTGTAGCAGAGACATTTTTAGAAAATAGTGATACCCCGTCTTTTTAAATCTGCAGATCTTTTCACCCGTTTCGTGCTAGTTCTTCGCTTGCTTTTTGTAACTGAGTGTGTTTTGCTAGAACGCCTGGTCTTCTTTACAGCAAGGACACGCCCTCTTCTCATACGGGTACCCGGTGGTTTACGTGACATCACCATCAGACCATGGCCTTCCTGTCCATTTTCATCATTATTATTATAAGACTTTGTTAGAGCACTGGTGACAACATCACTCATTATGTTTTTAGCGGCTGACTTTAGATGTGGTTTTGCTATACTGATCCCCCTTCTAAAAAAAGGCATTGCCATTCGAAAAAGGCCTTTAAAAAGACCACCGATTCCTGAAGCAAAACCGGACCCGTACATAACTCCGCCCCCTGCGTAACCCGGAAGACCGTTACCTGCCTGAGCCCTGTAGTATGATATGTAGCGTTCGGGATCCACTTTGTACGGTGCGTGATGAGCCATTTTAAAACGGTTGGTGTTTCACAGGTCTAAAATGTAGTTTGGTAACAACCTTTCCGTAGGTGAAACGTACGTCCTGGTTTAAATCGTCTTTTACATCAACAGAGATCTCTGAGATGCAGCTCTTATTAACACGTACGTAATGAGCTTTGTCGTATCTGACACTGACTGTTTTGTTAGTCTCACCATCTATATATACAGTTGCTAATAAAGGTACATAGGCATCCCCAACCGCTTGATAGTCGATTATGTCCGTGTATACATATAGCGTGTAGAATCCGGCATTTATATCAGCCTGGAATGGCGCATATGTGATGTGCGTGTCTTGATGTTCATCCGAACTGTTTAGAGTTTCTATAGAAACCCCTGGTTTTAAACCTAGGATGATCGCTAGTTTGCCATAAAATGTCAACGAAGTCCCTGGGGGCGCTTTGAGAAATACCTTATTCTTTATACGGTCGTAGGCGAGACGTACCCTCTGGGGGAGAGTGACATTTATATCCCTGAGCAAAATGGGTACATCCTCAAAATACCCGCATTTTAACGTATTCCGACTCGTTGATAATTTTAGAGCATTCTGAAACGCATCGCCTCTTACATCGCTCAGTTCGTGGTTATTCTGTAGTAGACGTTGATCACAGACAATAATAAAAACAGAGTCATCCTCATTAAATGTATACCACGTCAATGGATATTCAAATTCAACCAATGCCACCTCCCACAGACCTTTTAAATTTATACTTCTAGCCAATCTAGTTCTGTAATTAGATATTTTGTTATCAGGGTAGATGTTCATCGAAGCGTTGCACGGAAGCGTGACGTAGAATCCTTCCTCGGCCATGGTAATTATTTAATGACGTCTGTCATGAATTCACTAAGGCTTTAACGGACCCTGTAGATCCATCACCTCTTTTTCAGCT